CTCCATCTCCTCCACTCTCTGCAGAAGCGCATTGTGGGACTTTTCAAACTCCAGGTGTGCTGCAGTTTCCTGCGCCATCTGCTCCTTTTTCTATGAACAGATTCAGAGGTCAAAAAAAAAAATTGAGACTGAAATAACGATTCTATTTAAGAGATTAATGCATGCACAGTGTAACGGTTTAATATTTTATATAAGTATATCAAGGCCAAAACTTTTGTACACAATAAACAATAGTGTTTACTATTTCACAAATATAGTGATCGTGACGGGCGAATGGGGAACCTTTTTTCCATCCACCATTCTATATAATAGACTTAACAGTTTTCTCTCATAGATGATCAGTCATTATTTATCTGACAGAGTCAATATAGCAGATACTTTGCTGAAACATTTTTTTTTCTACAATGACGCCTTTTGTACATGGTCTTATTATCTTTTGGGAGACGCTGATGTCATTTCGGGACAAACAAAAAAATGCTGGTTGCATAAAAGTAACTTTAAGTCAGAATTTGGCAGGGGTGTGAATAATGTCATGATTGACTATGTGTGTGTGTGTGTGTGTGTGTATGTGTGTGTGTGTATATATATATATATATGTGTGTGTATATATATATATATATATATATATATATATATATATATATATATATATATGTGTGTGTGTGTGTGTGTGTGTGTGTGTGTGTGTGTGTGTGTGTATATATATATATATATATATATATATATGTATAACATATATGAATATTAAATGATTTATAATAAAATAAATTGAGATTTATAAAACATCTGAAAGTTGAATAAAAACGTTTTAAATAAGATTCCATTGATTTATTAGGACAGGACAATATTGGCCAAAAAATAAAACTTTTAAAAAAATCTTTAATCTGAGGGTTCAGAAAAATATAATTAATAATAAAATCACTCTTAAAGTCCAAATTAAGTTCTTGGCATTGCATATTACTAAACAAAAATAATATTGATATAAGTACAGTAGTGTGTACACAATATTTTAATAGAACAGGTTTTTTTCCTAATTTGTTAAAGTTTTTGGCATAAAAAAAAAAAAAATCATTTTGACCCCTACAGTGTATTTGGTTATTGCCAAAGATATATTAATGCGGAATATTTGAGGTCCAGGGTCACACATTTTAATATATATGTGATTGTATGTTACAGTATTAAAATATTTTTGATCAATTATTTGCAGCCTTGTGATATAAAGCCAAAATGATTATCCCTCCTGTGAATTGTTTTTTTCTTTTTTAAATATTTTGTAAATGATGTTTAACAGAGCAAGGAATTTTTTTACAGTATTTTCACTGTTATACAATGGTTTGCCTAATTAGCCTAACTTGCCTAATTAACACAGTTAAGCCTTTAAATTTCCCTTTAAGCTGAATACTAGTATCTTGAAAAAATATAGTCAAATATTCTGTACAGTCATCATTACAAAGATAAAATAAATCAGTTTTTTTAAATGAGTTATTAAACCTATTATTTTTAGAAATGCGTTTAAAAATCTACTCGTCATTAAACAGAAATTGGGGGAAAAATATATAAGGGGGGCTAATAATTCAGGAGGGCAATTAACTCTTACTTCAACTGTATATGATAGCCTTTTGTTCATTTAAATAATCCTATTATGTGATAACCTAACACTAAAACAAAAAATACATTTCACAAAGTCTCCCAATTATTACAAGCCTATAAGCAATATTACTTGAGAGGACATGGTGTTCTCCAGCGCCTCTGTGAGACGGATCACCTCCCGCTGCGCCTCCTGTCTGTCCTCTCGGGTCTGCTGCAGCTCATCCTGTAAACGCAGCAGCTCCAGCAGAGACGCGCGCTGCTCCCGTTCATGCTGCTCCTGCAGGCTGATTAACCGCTCCTGCAGACCGGCTGCACACACACAGAACATTACTTTGCTACATACACACTCCTGCTGCGAACACTGATTCATGCAGACTGAACAAGAAAAGAAATCCCACACTCACTTACACATGCAGCTAAAGGGACGTCCCATGAACATTATGATTTTTATACTGTACAAACTATATTCTTCCCCTAAACTCTCAAACACACAATGATATTGATAAAAATCAAATGTGTGCTTTTGTGTGTTGTGTGTGTATTGTGCCATAATCTATGGATTTATTAAAGTACATACTTGAAACTTTTTGGTGCTGCTCATGTGGCAGTCAAAATGCCCCTTTTAAAGTCAACATGTGCTATATTTTTGTTCAGTAATGATTTTAATATTTTGTATATTTCAGGGGTGTGGAGATATTATGGCAAGGCAATATATTTATGCAATAATAATCCATTTATGATGAAGTTTTGAACAACTAAGTAGTTTACTACTATGAGAAAACATACACAAATATTATATTCAAACTTGAAATTAAATGCATTTATATATATATATATATATTTTTTTTTTTTTACTTTTTTTTCTCAAATTTTAGGTCTAATTTGGGTTGCATGTACACTAATATAAATCAATATGCATACTTCAAAGGTGCAGAGAGTAAGTTTGACAGTGGTTGAACTAGGTATTGCATTCCTGGATTAAAACAAGTGCAAGCGCAGGTTGCCAGATTGATGACCACCAGGAGCGAGTCTCAAGACGAAAGGCTGATTTAAGTCCTGTTCTAAATAAAAGCAACAGCATGCGACAGAAGGAATATGTTTAATATTAAAAGGAGTTTTTGTTCAAACCAACACCTTGAATTGATAAATTAGAAACAGCTTCTATTTCTTGCACAACAACAGAAAAATGACAATGATCACCTCACCTTCTGAGGGAGCCTTGAACTGATAGAGGGTGGCTTCATGACCCTCACCAGCATCTTAAATCCTTGAAGTTGAAGTTTTTAATATTTAAAATGTAAAATGTATGAGCATTTGTATGTATTTTATTATCTTTACATGAAATTACAAAAAACTAATTACTGCTTATGTAAGGTTTATAATACAGCCTCTATGGGGCAGGACAGTACATTTGATGTCATTTCTTGACTTAATTTCTAAAGTCTCACACTAACTTTTTCATTTTTCTGAAAGTCTTGATAATGTCATCATGAAGTTTTTCCTTTTATTATTTCAGCAAATAGGATTGTAAAAAAGGTATTAGTTGTACTTTTCAATTCACTGCGCTCTAATGGCCCGCTTCCACTGAGTGGAACTCTGCAGACATATGCTAGTGTCTGTATCAAGAAGTATCGCTTTAACAGACAAGAAGTACCACTTTTTTTCCAAAGGGTACCTAGTACAACAAAAGTGTACTAAAAGGCAGGAGAATGAAAACAAAAGAGGCGTTATTTTAAATACACAGCAGAGACATTACACTGTAATATACAGGTAAAATCAGAATTATTAGCCACCCTGAATTATTAGCCTCCGTTTATTTTTTCCTAATTACTGTTTAACGGAGGGAATATTTTTTCAACACATTTCTAATCATAATACTTTCAATAACTCATCTCTAATAACTGATTTATTTTATCTTTACCATGATGACAGTAAATAATATTTGACTAGATATTTTTCAAGACACTTCTATACAGCTTAAAGTGACATTTAAAAGGCTTAACTAGGTTAATTAGGTTTACTAGGCAGGTTAGGGTAATTAGGCAAGTCATTTTATAATGAATGTTATATATAAAAAAATATTTAGCTAAAAGGGGCTAATAATTTTGACCGTAAAATGGCTTAAAAAAATAAAAACTGATTTTATTCTAGCCAAAATAAAACAATGACTTTCTCCAGACAAAAAAAAAATATTATCAGACATCTGTGAAAATTTCCTTGCCCTGTTTAACATAATTTAGAAAAAAAAAATAATAATAATAATAAAAAAAATTAAAGAGAGGCTAATAATTCTGACTTCAACTGTACATATAATAATAAGCCATGGTCGATCCGAGCTCAAACAAACCTTGTCATTGTCTTGATGAACAGCCACAAGGCCAAAAAGTATTGCCCCGTAGTCGTTTACAAGGCTGTCTAAAGCATGAGCAGTTTCGCTTTCTCATATGCGCGAGTCATCGTATATATTTGAAATAACAAACTTCTTGAGATGATGATAATAATGTGCGAGTGATTATTAAAGTGCTTCTGACATCTGATTCTTTCAGAAATGGACAAACGCCAGAGTGACGCACAAAAACACAAAGAAGAACCCGAAAAAAAAAAAAAAAACAAAGGAGCAAATTATTCTTTCAGCAACCTAAAACATGAACAACCTTCCATGTTTGACAATAATCATCGCCTTTTGGAACATTATGAACTCGGAATGATGGAATTACTCAATAACAGAGGCCACATGTGCTGGTGAAGATTAAAGATACAGATGAGAGGTTTGCACGTGTTTTTGAACTCAAATAAGGACTAAATGTACGCTGTGTGTAGTTTTTCTGTAATTGGTACCCTATCGGAAAATGTAAGGGTCTGTATGTGCTCATATGTTTCATTTATTTATTCATTTATTTTATTTTAATTGCAGACGTTACAGTAGGCTATTTCACACTATCATTGATTTGCAGTTATAATCAAACCATGTTCATAGAAAAGTTAGTAATTAACATTTATACACAAGTATTTATGTGCATAAGGTGTCTGTTTTGTGAGAAGAGCTTCTTATATGATATATGAGCTTTACTGTAGACCAGGGGTCACCAACATGGTAACCCGCCAGGTTCACATGAGTTGCCCGCGGGCCCTGTTCTAAAAATAGCTCACCATAGCACCACACATGAGTAAGCTGCAACTAATATTTTATAGGTATTATTTTTTAAATCACACTTGCATTGGTGTAAATTTGAAAATTACTTTAAGTTATATTTTAAAAAAAACTTTAAAAACAATTTCAGACAAATGAAGTGTTGCATATTGATATCTATCTAACTTGTTAAATCATTGTTGACAACTACTGTGAGAAATCATTAACATGATCAAAGTCTTCACAAAGATGAATATTATTAATTATTAATAATAACATATAATTAAAAGTAAATTGAGAAAAATGTGTTATTTAATAACTGGTAGCCCTTCATACTAATCGGTACCCAAGAAGTAGCTCTCAGACTCCAAAAGGTTGGTGACCCCTGCTGTAGACATTTCCTAGAGCGAGAATGACATTAGCCCCTTTCACACATACAGACCTTTCCGGAAAATTACCGGCAATTTTCCGGAAAGGTTGTATGTGTGAACAGGTCCTTTTTGAAAATACCGGTAAATTTGTTCTGGCTATTTTCCGGAAAGAAAAGTTGTAACATTACCGGCAATTTGCCGGAATGCTGCGCTGTGTGAATGCAGAAGGAAGATTGCCGTAATAAGCGCGTGCTTGTCTAGAACGTGCTGACGTGTGACGTCTGCTTTAGCCAATCACAACAGTCAGACGCATTCACGTCCGCGCGGTTTATGAGAATAAAACCCTTTGAATATTTTTCCAGACACATTTAGCTGCTAGAAGTTAGTCAGATCACGTTTATATGTTCTTCTTAATGTCAACTGTGTAAATAATCATCGATGAGATGCTTATGATAAGCCGTTGTTTGTTTACCTTCAAGCTTTGCGTGTGCCTGTGAAACAGCCTGGGAGCGCCTGCACACGCACATATTATGAACATCTCGACATACGAAAGTGATCCTGCGAAAGTTGTTCACAATATTGATCATCCACAGAGTTTGTAATTTAGTCAAATGTTTACAAATACAAGCGTAGCTGTTTAAAGCTCATTTGTGGTGAATGATGTCAGAATTTACCGGTATTTTGGAATGGATGTGTGAATACTCTTTTCCGGAAAATTTCCATAACGTCCTCGCCTGTGTGAACAGCGCTTTTTTGAATATACCAGTAAAGTCGTTCCGGAAATTTTCCAGATATTTACCGGTATCACTGTGTGAAAGGGGCAGACTGCAACCTTCTTTTGGTATCCTTTTGGCAATGGAAATGCAAACCTGATAACCGGTACCGACCGGTACCGTACTGTTCAGTGAAAATGGGCCATTAGTTTATCAACTATGATGACTTCTGCTGCTGTAAAACCCAGATATGTGAAAAAGCTCCATTGTAAAGTGCTACCTCAAAATGAATTTGCACAATTTAAGACATGCAAAACTATCATCGAAAAGCACTGACCAGGGTGAGATGGGTTGAGCTGTCTCTCTGTCTCCAGACGGAAGGCCGTGAGTTTGAGAGCATGTAAAACACTCTCCAATCTGCACACACGAGCGACCAGCGTCTCACACTGTCTCCAGAGCAAACTCTCTCCTGTGGCGCTCGGGGCCCGCTGAATGTTCACAGGACTGATGGGACGGGTTCCTACAGAGTTCTGGAGATGCTGCTGATCTGCAGATGCTCCCAAGCTGCCCAGAGTCCTCACCAGCTCCTCTGTCTGCTGCTCTGCTGTCTGGAGACGCCTCTGGAGGACAGACAGAGACTCTGGAGCCGCCGCCGAGACACTTACTGGACACACCACTGACCTGGACATCGCTGGACACACAGATGGACAGACAGACACACTGACACACAGAGAGATAGACACACAAGTTAGACAGGAAAAAAAGATATGGACGGATGGACAGACAGATAGACAGACTGGAAAAAATATATGGATGAAATGATAGACAGAAAGAACAATAGATAGACAGATAGGCAGATATACAGACATACAGACAGACAGACAGACAGACAGACAGACAGACAGACAGACAGATAGATAGATAGATAGATAGATAGATAGAGACAGACAGAGGCACACATACAGACAGACAGACAGACATAGACAGACAGAAAGGCAGACAGATATACAGACAGACAGGCCCACACAGACACTCAGACAGACAGACAGACAGACAGACAGATAGATAGACAGACAGACAGATAATGACAGACAGCCAGACAGATAGATAGAGACGGACGGACGGACAGAAGGACGGACGGACGGACAGACAGACAGACAAATAGATAGATAGTGGCACACAGACAGACAGACAGACAGACAGACAGACAGACAGACAGACAGACAGATAGATAGATAGATAGATAGATAGATAGATAGATAGATAGATAGATAGATAGATAGATAGATAGATAGAGACGGACAGATGGACGGACGGACGGACAAACAGACAGACAGAGGCACACAGACAGACAGAAAGGCAGACAGATATACAGACAGACAGGCCCACACAGACAGCCAGCCAGCCAGACAGACAGACAGATAGATATAGACGGACGGACGGACGGACAGACAGAGGCACACATACAGACAGACAGACAGACAGACAGAAAGGCAGACAGATATACAGACAGACAGGCCCACACAGACACTCAGAAAGACAGACAGATAGATAGAGACGGACGGACGGACGGACAGACAGACACAGACAGATAGTGGCACACAGACAGACAGACAGACAGACAGACAGACAGACAGACAGACAGACAGATAGATAGATAGATAGATAGATAGATAGATAGATAGATAGATAGATAGATAGATAGATAGATAGATAGATAGATAGACAGACAGACAGACAGACAAATAGATATATAGTGGCACACAGACAGACAGACAGACAGACAGAGACGGACGGACGGACAGACAAACAAACAGACAGACAGAGACAGAGACAGACAGACAAATAGATAGATAGTGGCACACAGACAGACAGATAGAGACGGACGGATGGACAGACAAACAGACAGACAGACAGACAGAGACAGACAAATAGATAGATAGTGGCACACAGACAGACAGACAGACAGACAGACAGACAGACAGACAGACAGACAGACAGACAGATAGATAGATAGATAGATAGATAGATAGATAGATAGATAGATAGATAGATAGATAGATAGATAGATAGATAGACATGAGCAGGAAACACATTGAGGCAGAAAACATGACAGGCAGGCAGAATAAAAATTGACAGGCAGACAGATTTTGAGATACATGTTGAAATTGTTATTATAATCATCATTAACTCTTACTAATTGAGCATCAACATTATGATTTTAGCTTTGGTTAGCAAAAAGAAACTCGTCAGGTCATCTGATATTATAAACGGCAAAACATAAATCAGTGCACACGCACAGACTCACCGGTACCTGCCGGTCAATCTTCGCTTTAATAAATATCTGGATTTCCGTCACATGCTGAGACGATAAACGGAATGTGCTTATTTTAGTACAAATTTTAGAGTGATTCCGTTTGTTTTTATCTGTTATTGTTGCTTAGCTGGAGAGTACCCAGCAGCTTCCGGCTTAAATGGTTACCGTGGAGACCGCCCCCTCTCGGGCTCTGTTCTAAACTCCCGCCAGACCGCCACAGCAAAATAACACGAAACTAGAGCGGCAAAACCAAATGAAGAGCAAAGCAAAATATAGTGGCCCGGAAGCTCTCTCTGATTGGTCAGGTGTTTATATACAAATTAAATATTTAATTCTTTGTGTGTTTCAGGGTGTGATTTTTATTTTAAAAGCATTCAAATGCTTTTAAAATCTTTAATATCGTGTAAACTATTTGTTATACTATTTGTAAAATGACGGATTTATCACGTGATCTGTGTTACTTTTATCAACGCAGACAAGCTGGACTAATCACTGTTAGTGATTTACAAAGATAAATTATGTTTTACCATTTTAACAGCATGTAATGGATCGTATTTGTAATAATCTACTTGGAAGTTCAACCTTTTGTGTATTCAATCGACAAATTCTTACTTCATTAAACGTCTCTTTTTTCAAATGAATGCGGCGCAATGGAATGTTGAGATTTCTGAGCCACCAAGCGCCATCTTGTGGATGAACTATTCCATCATAAGACACTAAAGCATGGTGCTGCTTCCTCCCAATAATATTCTGTTTCTCTAAAAAGTCTATTACACAGAATTTATCTTTGACATCTTTGGCGTTTTTTAAAATGTCGTCAAGAAATTTTCTGACACGAACACGACGCCATTATATGAGGACAAGATATTTATTGCAATATAAAGTTGTAACGATATTCTGGAGGAAAAATACATACATTTTAGACATTTTTAGAAATTTAAATGGATGTATTGGTCATATTTATGTTCATATTTCTTCCCAAAATTAAACAAAAAGTACATTTACCTTTTATTATTTAACCTAATGTTTATTTGCATTTCTAAACTCAAATTCACTTGGCATTGTTTGTGTTTACATAATATAATTATTAAAAATGTGTCCATGATAATTTGCAGCATTAAATTCATATTAATAAAAGATTATTTGCATAAGAGCAATGAACATTGTTGGAAAATGTGCTTAATTATCATCATTTTGAGGTGAAAATTGACTCTAATTGATTCAAAGGACTCCCAGACTTGACAACAAAGTCCTATATAGCAGTGTTTCTCAACCACGTTCGTGGAGGATCACCATCTTTGCACATTTTCCATGTCTCCTTTACCAAACACACCTGATTCAGATCATCTCCTCATTAGCAGAGACTGAAAGACATGTAATGGGTGTGACAGACAAAGGAGACATCCAAAACATGCAGTGTTGATGGGCCTCCAGGAACGTGGTTGAGAAACACTGCCATATAGCATATGGAGATAAATGTTGAGAAATGCACCACAACAAAGCCTCTTCAGACTGTATTATCAAGACCTAGAGGTAGGAAATATGAACAATTAATCACTTTCAAATCACAAATGAGCCTTATTAACTTTAAAAAATCCTAATGATCACAATTAGGTTCTGCATGTCACTTTGATCAGTGTTTCCCAACCCTGTTCCTAGAGGCACACCAACAGTACATATTTTGGATGCCATTTAGTAGGGGAGAGGTTGAAAATGTGCACTATTGGTGTGTCTTCAGGAACAGGGTTGGGAATCACTGGTTTAGATGTATTAAAAGTTTCCCCTGAATAAGAGCTGATAAACAAATAACATGATGTCAAGTTTCCAGTTGTTTGCATTGTTTTATGTAGATTTCCCAGCAGTCAGAATGAAGCACCAGCAGCCCTTTGTATGGATCGTAGCTCGTTTTAGCAAAGCTTTATGAGATCTTCTCGTAGAATAAGAGGTAGGCTTGGGAACTCTGTACTTTGGCCTCTGGAACCGGATGGACGCTGCTGTCGCTGATGTGAAACCAGGATCCTTTACTGGCCTCGGCGTCACCTGCTGCGAGAGGAAAATGTCACTTTGTGCTTTATGTGATGATCTAACATGCTAAAACAAACAGTTAATGGAGATTTCTCTGACTTATTAAATAAAAATATGACAGATGTTGTGATTCTTATGCCAAGTTCAGACTGCATGATTTAATCCCCAATTTTAACTCGCCAACAGGTTTTGAGAAATTGCTGACAAATGGCTAAAATCACTAGCAAACCGGTGCTCATTCAAGCAAGTAACAATCCCACAGTGTGAACGATCAAAGACACAATCTGAGAGAATCGCCGATGAGCTGCTGACGCTATACCTACACCACCACTCCTGTTTTTTCCTGGAGTCTCCCGTATTTCAGACCCATCTCCCGCCACCCTCCCATTTTGTTATTTCTCCTGTAATTTCACCACCTACTCTCACACCAGTCTGTAGTAGGGTTGGGCCAATAGATGATGTCATCGTCCATCGCCGATGGCCAATAGACAACACGATGCTGAACCGGCATCACCGGGTCTCCGCCCCGCCCCTGTTGCAAACACCCTCGCGAAAAATACTCACTTAGGCCCCGTTTACTCTAATACGTCTTAGTGTTAAATTGCCATTTTAGAACGAAAATGATCCACATCGTGTTTTACCAAGCATTTCTGAACAGCCCTCTGAAAATGCACATCACGTGACCACACACACACACAGAGACACAGCCACACAGACACACACTGTCAAGTACTCCTCTGAGCTCCAGAGAGCAGTGCAGGTTGGACAGTTTATTAAGGTACCGCTGGATCGTGTCTCACTATAGTTGTTAAACGTGATATTCACACATCCCAAGTCTCCTGGAAGTTCTGGGAGTCTCTATGCATTTGTGGGACTCATAATGCCCGCAAACAAGCGATAATCTCCAGGAAATGGCACGCCTCCCTCCCTGTCCTCAAATAAATTATTACTGTTATTTATCTTTTCACGGTTGGAAAGTGTCTATGTGTGTTTATATATACTTTTTTATTATCGTTTTTCTTATTTATGTATTTATTTATTTATCTATTTTATTAGGGGCCAAGCACCATAGGTGCGTAGGCACCTATTGCTTTCGTTAGTGTTCTTCTTCTTCCGTTTCTTCCGCCGGATTTGAATGGCAGCCCATATAGGCGTATGCGGGAAAGTTGTATAATTTAGCACAATGATAGAGGCCAGTCTCAACATTAATCAGACCAAATACGAAGTCTCAAAATCAAACTCTCTAGCGCCAACACTTGTCCAAACTTTCACGTATGTTTATCATGATAACTTTTGAACCGAATGGGCTACAATCAAAATTCTTTTTTCCTCTGATTCCTTGGCTCAGTCCGATTTAAAAGCATATAAAACCCTATGATGTCATTTTCCATCATGAATTTTTTTGTGCTATTTTAAATTTTTCGAAAAAACTATTTGATCGAACTTGTCCTAGGTCGTTTCTCCGATTTTCACCGAAATTGAATCACATGATCTACAGACCATGCCAACCAAAAGTTATGGAATTCAAGTTGATTTGACCAACCGTTTTCGTTTAACTTGCGATCAAATTTTACGAAGAACTTGCGAAAATTAGTATATAAAAACTTAGTATGTGTTATGACAACTAGGGTCTGAGGTTACATGCGGAGTTTCGGCGCACTGCCCCCTAGTGGTCCGGAGATACAAAAAACTTGCTTTTTGGCTTATAACTTCTCAACCTTTCGTCCGAAACTGATAAAACTGCTCTCATTACATTCGCCAGAGCATGTCGAGTCGAGTGATGTCTGATTTTTACAGGTCAGCCATTTTGGGCATCAACCATTTCGATTTTTGGTCAAAAATGCTATATTTTACCAACATATTCACATATCATTACAAAACATGGTATGCATCTTCAACCCCATGCCCTGAAAGTCCTTAAAAACTTCTGGAGCAGCGCCACCTTTTGGTCAAAAGTGCTTGGCCCCTTAATTGCTGCTTGCAGCTATATTTATTATTATTACCATTATTATCATTAATATTATTATGACTATGTCTCTCCAAACACCTGTAATTTCAGACCGAAGTAATTGACAGCTAGTAAACTATTGTATGTTCTATTTTTGGCAGGGCTGTGGGGTTTTGTAAATGTGTATTCTTGAAAATCTTTTTAAAATATTTAAACTAAATATTAAAAATCTTTGGCTTTAGGATCCTGATGACAGTTAAACACATCATCACAGTTTTACTAATTGCGATTTTTCTAAGTGACCACTCAATATGCCTGCTCTGACTTCCTGTTTCAGAGGAAATTAAATTAACACACGGAACATCTTGTGCATTTCAAGGCACTTCAATAAGACTATAACACATGCTTATGTAAATTCATAAAGGTCATCAAAATCTTTGTTTTAGCACTGATACTCACATGCAGCAGCAGTCCCGTTTTGTACACAATTGTGTGTGGAGGGTCGTGATTTAACATAGGCAGTGTAGTGTCCAGAGCGCATGGTGCCACTGTGTTCCACTATGCCATAGAGACTGTACAGCACCTGCGTCTCGCCCTCTTTTACACCCTGAAACACAAAGAGAGCTTTAAAGAAGTACACAATACACAATTTCATGGTTTCCTTTGTCTATGAAGGTGCATCATATTGGAAAAAAACTGACACTGCAATTTTTTCTTATTTGCAATATATGTAGCAATATATGAATCTAATTTCACAAGATGACTCTATTTAGAAAGAATTCATTATGTTATGTTGATTGGGATGATTGTGTTGGTGAGTGTTCCTTAATGAAATGCACAAAATGACTTCATACCACTCAGCACACATACACTTACATATCTTTAAAACACATAGTACCCCACCCTGCCCCCTTTTATTTATTAAAAATAAATAAAATATTTGCAAAAACGTATTCATAAAAGAAGGCATAACGTTAATTAATATGCAATATGGTTGATTAGTATATTGTGATAGCAATATTCCTTGCAATATGACATTTCCCTAAAGAAATGCTATATTGATTATTAGCTATTTTTGCAATCATTTAAAGTGTATTGAATAAATAGTTAAGGGGTGTTTTCTGATCTAATTAAGTGTCATTCACACTGAAAACAGGAGTAAAAATGTTGACTTTTAACCCTAAACGACTTTAAAAATTTGACAGATATTTTGAGTCTTTAATTTTCGTCTAATTTCTACTTCTGCCTGATAGTATTTCAGCTCTGCTTTGAGGCTTTGAGTTCACCTTTAGGCTGGGCCCACACGGAATCTGCGCACGCAGATTTCCGCAGATTTTTAGCCCATCATTGATTCTGTTTATTTACTTGTGTAAATGTGTGTAAATTTATACTTTTTCAGTTTTTTAATTAATTTCAGTAATATTATTGACTAATATGTAAATGTTAACATAATTTATTCACAATACAGTTTATAAAGTCATTTTCTGTCTCTTTCTAGTAGATATATTAAATAGAAGACTTGCTTTGTTTGCATTGTAAACATTAAATACAAGTTACAAAGGCATTACTTTTTAGTTCATATATTAAGGTTTTAGTTATGATGCTCCCAAAATCATTCCGCAGAAATCTGCTGATATTTAACAAAATTCTGCGCAGGATTAGCATAAAACGTCTGGCCCTACTTTAGGCCTCTTTAGCCAATAGCAGAACACCACCACAGCACTGGTGAGGCGGTTGTAAATAGTAATGCATCATCTGATTGATTACATTTGGATAAACTCTGCATGCAACACACAAATGTGTTGTACATAAAATAATAGCAAATGCATGGCATTAATCACATTTTTTGATGATTTATCATACCTCCCTGCAATATGGATATTACACATACTATTATCTAGGCATGGGCCGGTTATAAGATTCTGATGGTATGATAACATTGGATAAAAATATCACGGTTTAACGGTATTGTGCTCACTGCTCTAAAATATCTTCTTTTTAAATGTCTGGGTAAAAAAACAAAATCTTTTTCCACTTTGAAAACAGCAGGTTTTATATTTTGAAAGATTTATAATGTTTTGTTACTGTAAACATGTCAGGCTACATAATACAAATGAATCATTGACTTCTGCTGTCTTCATTTGATTAAAAAAAACAGATTTCTTTATAATTTAAAACGGCACCTTTGGATATTTTTTCTGCGGGAGATACTTTTGTCCAAAAAAAACAAAAAAATAATGCAACTAAAAAAACTTGGAAAAATAAAATACACATACCTCAGGAAATGTTTTACAGAAAATTTTGGCGGTTTTAAAACATTGACTTTTTCAAACAACGGTATACCTTGAAAACAGTTATCGTGCCATGTCTACTATTATCACGATGCAGCTGTGCAGCTTTAACATTACTTATTATTGCAAATTACTTATTATTAAGGTTTTATTAAGGTAATAGTAAGGTTTATTATAAATAAATACATCAACAAATGTGTTTTGATCAGTTTTGGCATTGCATTGTCTGAATTTAATTCAGCCTTTAATAGGTAAGGTAGTAAAATCATGAGATTTTCATCACATGCTGGAGTTTTCAGCCAATCAACGAACACACTGAATAAACAACCAATCAGAACTCCACTGTACCATGCAGAATGATAGAAAATAAAAACAATAATATACAGTACGTGGGAAAAAATTCCACCTCAAAGCACATTGCAATACGTAAAGCACACCAAATAATGCTCTAGTTCTTAAGAACAGTAACATGAGGCCTTCAAACTGATCTACTCAGAGTAATAGCAGGATGATGGAAGCCATGAAATGAAAGATGATTTGCTCACCGTGCAGTTTAAAGAGCAGAATGGAGCGAGATCCAGGATCTGAGGAAACTGCACGTGTCTGTTGACCTTA